TATCAAGAAGGAATGGAGAACTAAAACGAAGAGCAAATCTGCAAGCAATCTCAGTAAGAAAAAAAAGGTAGGATAAAAGTGGTTAAAAAGTCCATTTGGAAAGAGAATTAAAACAGGTAAGGCAAATCTGAGTCCAAAGCTGCATTGTGCTGACACACTCTTCCGAGATATTCAGAAAGACAGGAATGGAAATTAAGAAGTTACAAGGAAAAATGTCTGGGGAGAGGAGTGGAGACAGGGCAATTCGGGAAGCATCCAAAGAAACTATGTATAGAGAAGCAGATAGAGATGAAAATTAAGACCAGTGAGTCAAAGGAAGTGAGGCCAATGAAGAAAGGAGGCAGCTGAGAAGAGTACAGGAGTCAGAAAGGTCAATAGACTGGAGATCCCAAAAGGAGTGAATGACAGGGTATAGGAGAGAGAAAGACAGATAAGCTGAATGAGAGCAGGTAGTGATCAGAGAAAGGGAATTTAGAAATGAGAGATAATAAAGTGAACAGTATTTAGTAAAGACAAGGTCATGGGAGTGATCGAGGCAGTGAGAAAAATCTGTCTAAAACTAGAAATCAAAGGCATCAGGCTGGAAAAACAGAATGAAGGACAACGGAGTGAAGTAGTTATCGGAGAAAAAAAAAACCACATAGGGCTTGCCCATGGTGAGGAATAAAATTTGAGAAGACAGAAACAGGTTGAGTTTAGCAAAGTCACAAAGAAAGAAGCAAACTAATGGCCACTAGGAAAACTAGACACAGAGGACTTCAAATCAGGAAAAGGGTAGAGCAGACAACAGGACAGATGAAGCAGAAGCAGTGGAAGACAGGAATCGTAGGACTTCAGAAGTGAATATGAAAGGGAAACAATTTTTTTAAAGTATGAACTGAAGAACAAGGTTCAGGGAAGGGAGTAAAGTTTGAAAAAGAACCTTAAAAATCTGTATTTAAGTCATGTTCAGAACCATAAGTAACACCCCACTGGGCATGCCCAGCATCTGTATTTCCCTCCTTGGGTGATCTTGGCAGAAAGGTTTAGTCACTCACCCAGACCAAACCAGAGATCAGACATTCAGAAGACGACCACTGCTGCTGGCTAGGTGATGTGGGGATATGGCAGGGTTGGAAAAACTTTTGACTGTTAAAGAAGTATTAAAAATGATGGAAACACTGTGATTTGAACTCTGCTATCCAGTACCTTTACCTCCAGATTAAATTAACTCTCCACAAAGCAAGACAGGAAGGCCTTCACTGACTCTCCCTCACATCATCCTCCTGCTCCTAGAAGCTCAAATACCTGATGCCGCATTCACCACTAGCATTCAAATTCAGCCATTAAGATTCTTGTCTCGCTGCGTAACAGTGAAAACAGAGATTAAGCGGCCAGACTGTTGAAAACAAACATCACTGTGATTTTGGGTCTCATTCAGAGATATCTGAGAACCACTAGCATAAGAAGCCCTTCTCCATTTCCAAGCCTCTGTCAAGAATTTCACTCTATGGTTTTCTTAATCATGAGCATGAATAAAACACCAGCCTTCTCAGACACTCTAATACTGTATTTCATCATCTGGTATATTGGCATGTTTTTAAAGTTTCTGCTCATTACAAAAAGACGACATACTTCTATTGCCTGCTCGTACAATTGGTAGCTGGATCATTAGAGTGCAACAGAAGAGGGGGGAAAAAAAACCACATTACTCCTTGCTACCAAACCAGTGACATATAGAAAGTATAAAAGTGAGCTGAGCACATCACTTCTATATACCCTACTGATTACTATTTGTTCATGTGTGTATATGAGGTTCACTGACTGAAATTATATAAAAACTAGACTACTTATAAACAAGAGCTCACAGGACTGGGGTCATAATGGGAGTTCTTTGTTATTTTTATGCTTTTCAGATACTTTATATGGTTTGAAAATAATTTTAATTTGCTTTTAAATTTTAGATAAAACACTCTTTTGGGTTAATTGTGAATATACCTGATGCAGTATTTTTAGATAAATTTTTGACAAATAATATGAAATAGATTTTTTGAATCTACTGTGTTTTGTTACAGTCAAGAAAACTCACCTATAATCAACTACTGGAAACAGTAAACTGTCCACAAGATAGGTAGCATCTACTGTAACATATATATGTATCTGTAACAAGAAAAGTTTGAAAAAATATCATAGAAACACTATCATTTTTACATTATATTTAATATCTGTATGTTTTATTTCTATTATACTACTGCACAGAAGGGGAGCTTTCAAGACAAGACAAAGATTTTATGCAATGTCATTCAAAGCACAAAGTTCACTCATGAAGCAAGTTAATACCGTAGCATTACTAAAATAAAAGGAAGAGCTACTCAGACATTTTGGTTAGGAATGCAACACATTCTCTTTACAGAAAATAAACACATAATGCCATAGCTTAAAATAAATAGTGCCAAATGCCACCATCAACATATGAAAAATAGAATGCTGTTTTATAAAAGAAAATATTTTGTACGTGAATAGCACACATGGGAGTGTTATAACAGACTTACCATTTTCGTATGTTACCAGGTGCCTTATGTTGGGGATAGATTCTACAATCCCTAATTATATAAGCAGTTCTATTAACCCATATGGGCTTCTTAATTATAAAGTTTGGTACCAGAGTCATCTGTACCATTCATTTTACAGATTTTTAAAATAGGAACAACAATTTCTTTTCCTCTGTACAAGATTTAATCATTAATATTAAAAAAACCCAATCAATAAAAAATTTAAATGCTGAAGTATGCACATTTGCTAACTCTTAACTCATGATTTCTTTACTCAATGTATCCTTCCAGACAGGAGGGGGAATAAAAAAAAAATAAATCTATTATTGGTTTCTTTCAGGAAAAGTTCAATACTTGATGCATAACACTAGATTCAAATAGTCTGACTGTGTTGCGTTGTTTTCAGTGATTTTTAAATGTTCTAGTACATTTCAGAAAAAAAAAATGGTTTGAGTACTTGTGCATATTAAGAGCTAATCTTGGCAGTCAAGCAAGTATTGTGCTGCTTTTTCCAATACAAACCATTTTATTCTATGACATATGAACTATTGTTATAGAACATAATCATAATTTTTAAAATTCAATAATCAGATAATAAATGAAAACAAATCTAGAGGTTGCTAGGCACAAAGCAAGGTTTCTCAAATACCTCTTCCCTACAAATTGTTTCACTGAAGTCCTACAAGATTAAGTATATACAGAAGCTAGAAGGAAAACTAAGGATTCATCCTACAAAATCTGGAAACAAAAATAAAATTTAAAAAAATGCATTAAGATAAGCTGATGATCTGGCATATACTATTCAAAAACTCCTGTATTTTGCCAAACACAATTTCCATAGTATTTGTATTTTTAAAAAATACAAAACCAGAACAGTCCCTGACCTAACTTGAACATTTCATCCACAAACCCCACAGCTGATTCTTTGAGCATTGTATCAAATCAAAAATTAAACCTGCACAGAGAAACAAACAAAAAAAATCAGATCGTACAGGGAACTGACTGCATCTAGAACCTATATGTGTATGCATGTACACACCATTGCTTTTATTTGAACTTCTTTTTACCTACATAAAGAAAAATATTTAACTGACTGTAACAGCTTTTTAGCAACATCACTGGTAATAATTATGTTTTAACAGTTTTGTATTAAAAGTTCAGTCTTGAAATTCAAGAAATTTCAGTCCATTCTCCATTTTTACCACATTTAAAAACAAGACACCTTCCTTCCTTAACAATAAAAATACTATTCAAGCATAGCCAAAAAGGTACTAAGATCTAACAAAAATATTCTGAATTTCCGTTTCAACTAATGAATTATTTGTAAGACATTTTGCATATATATTTATTTCTTAAATGAAGAAGTGGCAATTTTCTCTTAAAGTTAAAAGCTAAAATTTACTTTTGCTAAATATAAAACTAATTCTCAGGATATAGTATACAAAACCAGAGATTCATGAAGAATACATTTTGTGTTATATTACACTATTATATCTTTTCCAAAAGGGTTCTGCATTAAAAAAAATTAAAATTTAAATATACTATAAGGTCACTCAAGTTATCTTAAACACAAAAATCTACAAACAGTGACATATACATAAACAGTTGGGAAATTGTAACTTAAGGATTGCACCTTTTAATCAGACCTTCTCATAAACGCTAGCCTCAAAAGAATCGTATTTGCTACAAGAAGCATCTGCATGGTTTTACGACTTAACTATGCAGACTCCTATTGCCCCAGGGCAGTGCTGTACAAGCCTATTGAAAACATTCAGATTGTCGAATCAACAGATTAAATTTTCCCAGAAAACCTCCAACAAATGTTTTATGTGCATTATGACAGAATAACAAAACAAGAAGGGATGTTACAAAAATTGCAGCATGACGATTTTTCCTGAAACTATTTTCCCATCACATTTGGCAAGCAGAGAACTAATCCTATCACCTGTCTACTCTTACGCTGAGAACTGCAAACTACAATTCAATATAAAATACACTAACTTTCTATAACAATTATGTTCCTCTTAGAACAAAGATTAAAATAAACTGTGCTGATTCATACTTTCCATAAATTACTAAAAAGGTGATTCAGACATTTTGCTTCTGAATAATAAGCCTAATATCTGTATCATGTGCAAAAGTGCAACTGTATGTTAGAACTGAAGCCCAACTGAATACAATTTTGTTATTAAAGAAAATATACTTGAACCCACTTAACATGGAAAACAGTGGTTCTTGGTGTCTTTTAAAGTTACGCTTTACATATTTAAATCTGTTGTGCACCTGCAAGTTAGTAAAAAATACAAAAAATAGAAATAACCAGAAAACAACAAAGGGTGTATATAAATTGGTTTACAATTCAAAGCACAACAGTAAGCTTCAAATAATCACATTTCTGTAACACACAAAGAGGTGGGATGATTTATTTAAAATACTTGGTTATTTCTGCTCTTTTCTTGATGATCTGATGTCTGTTTAGCTGCTCGCAGTGTGTGCATGCATACGTTTCGCTACATCATAGACATAGGTTATGTCTGGTCGCTTCTCCGGATCCGGGTTGATGCACATATTAACTAATTGTCGCAGCTAGGAAAGGAAAATAACATGACAGGATCATTGGCTTTCTTACAAGTAGTATCTGTGCATTATCAAATTCAAATTAATAAGACTGGTAAAAATTAGCCAAACAGAAACTCTGCATGAACATACACTCAACCCTCCCTCTCTCAACACATTCTGAACAGTTCTATGCAAGCATGTATGCAAGATATTCCTGTGATTTTTACATTTTGTACTCTTGTCCAGAAACCATGATGAGCAGATTAATGTTCTAATCTTTTTAACGTGCATCTTCAGATGCGCATTTAGTCCCATTACACACCATTTAAATTAAAGTTCCTGTGCTTTTGGAGGGTTATGCCTGCAAATCCCAGAAGGCTGAAACTAACCCCGAGCGAAGGTAAACCGGGACTGCTTACTCATTCACTCCTGATACAAGAATTAGCCAGCAATAAATGGCATTGCTGTGTGACAGGTTCCAACAAACAAAAGCCAGCAATTCTCCTTATAACACACGGTTAACCTGCAGAATCTCCCGCTGCTAGAACATACCAACACATATGCATTCAAAAAGCAACCGAACAAATTAAACCCACTGAGGTCTACTTAATATAAAGACTCCATCTTTGACTGAGGAGCAATCTGAACTTAAAACTGAAAGCTGGGAAAGTATTTTGGGGGAGAATGACATTATGCTGGCCCTGTTACTCCATTTGACCACTGCTGGAGCCATGATACTGCAATAAATAACCTATGGTCTATGTCCCGGTATCTATGCTTAGGATTTGATCATTGGTTTTTTTCTTTATGGAAAGAAGCACATAATTAACAAATATGTTCACAGAAGCCTCTATGTGGCAATAAACAAATCACTATGACTAGAAAATCCCATGTTTCCACAAGCACCATAATTTATTGGGCCTTCTATAGTGCACATATTTAGCAGAAGCAACCCCGAAGAGATTGCACACCACTCAGATACTTCTCATTGCCTTCACAAACTGGCAGAATAGTTGCAGGTTTTTCTTCCTCCTTTGATATACCTAAGAACTTACGACAATAGAACTTAATATATTGTCTGGATAACCTTCTGATGGGGCATCTATTTTAAATTGTGTGCATCTCCTAAGCATTTTTCAACATGGAATACAGCTGCCTCACAACGACTTATTAAAATGTTTACCATCCTTTACAAAAGCAACTCTGAAGCTCTTCCTTTATGCTTTTTAGTAGCTTTGCCAAATCCTCCCGGATCTCCTTTCAGCATTGGGCGGGGGGAAACAACGAACACAAAAAACCCACGTTGTGATCCACCCTTTCTATGGCAATATGTCAAATTTGGTTCAGTCTCCTTCCCAGTACTATTAGGTATGATTATTGAAAAAAAATCTGTAATTATTGCAACTAACACAGAGCAACCTCATCATCATCATTATTCAAAAGTAACATACTTTGCATATTCAAGTCTGCCATCAGAGAGTTTCCTTCCTGCTTTTTATAAAAAGACCAAGAAAGATTTAAAATTATAATTATACTCCTTTCACTTTTCAGAAGATTAATTTAAATGCATGAGCATAGGAAATCCAGAAGTTCAGAAACATTGCATACCACTATTTAAAACTTTGTCCATTAGCCCTTGCAGAAACATTGTAAATGGTATACAATGTACAGGTTTTTCAAATTTAACCATACAAAAACTATGTCACCAGACATCTCTCTTCTTTTGCAAGAAGGGCTTAATACTTAAAAATGAGATCATTAATTCTGAAGATAGCGGTCAGACTGCTGGACTGAAAAGAAACATATTAAATCAAAATCATCTATAACAGGCTTGCTATTTGAATCTTAAATATGCTAAGTATATGTTGACTAATGGAGTTATAAAAGCCATCATATTGCTTCTGGCAGCCAATAAATAAAATGCAATACCCGTGACAGGAAAAACTATTAGCCTGTAATAACTCCCAAACATTTGGAGCTGGAAATCATGAACTACTGTGAGAAATAATAATTGCCAACATGTAATACAAATACACAAAGCAAAACAATCTCCTGTAGAAGAAGCAGGTGAGACACAGTGTAAGCAACAGGCACAATGTATTAGCAGAGATGAGCAGCTTGCTATGCAACACCTCAGACAGCCTGCGTGGAAAACAGGAAAGACTGAAGAACATCCAAAAACCTCAAGCCTGAAATTAGACTCAAATAAGTAAACATTTCATAAAGAGAATACAAGTGTAATTCATCTGCAGAATACAACATCGAATCTTGTACGTATACATTTATCTTTCTCTGAAGACTTCCATCTGTTCAATAGAACTGCATACACTAAAAGTCTTAGTAAAAGACCTTGAAGTATCGAAACCTATAAAGTTATAACCAGAGAGGAAATAGAACATTCTTTCTCCTGTTTTCACCAGTTGTGTATCAGTAACTTTACTGTAGGTAGAAAAGCAGTAACTTTACTGTAGGTAGAAAAGCAGAAGTAGATCTTCAAGAAATTTACCTGTGAAAAGCAGGAGAAGCCCTGTTTACCTCCAGTAGGCTACTTCACGTCTTTTCAATCCTGGCCTACAGGTAACTCTGATTTTGTTTTCTAAATTGAACTTTATAATCTAAAAATCAATTTCAGACTCAAGCTGTTTGTTACGTCATTAGACAGGAAGTCTTTCTTCAGAGTTACTTTGTTACTTGTTACAATATATTATAATTCCAAATGGCCAAGAAGATGCACTGCTTAGAAAGACACTAGCAAAATGGTATCATTACTCAAAAGTACGTGTAAGGCTTTAGGTCCTGTTAATCCCTGTAAGTACACTTGCAAAAACCATTCACCCACATGGAGTCTTGACTGGTGGCTTTTTGCAGTTTCCTATTTTTCACTCTAACCAAAATGCATATGTAGCTACTATTGTTAGGATGCAAGAAAGGATCTACAAGAATATGTTCATAGTAAGAGAGAGTCACTGAATCAATTTACTCAGAAATTCTCTCCCCAATATAGTGCAAGCAGTGAGTTCAATTAGTGACAAACTTTCACTATTACTGTAATAAAATAAACCACAGAGTCATAGACCTGTTTCAGCTATCAGTCTTAATGTTTAAGTTTGGTCATTGCTATTACTACAAAATCTCTTCCTCCTCCCCAGTCTAGAATCTCAGTTGTAAAGCAGTAACACTGAGCTGACTATGCTTGGGACACTGCACAATGATAGCACAGATTCCCAAGTAATTTCAAAATCCTTGAGCTCTTTTGAATGTTGTTATTGAACACCTTTGGGAGAAGGTGAATTAATTTTGCTATACAAGATGGAAACAGTTATACAGGAAGACAGTCTTCCAGGACTGAAGCTGGGACCATGCTGGATGCTAATACTTGGTCATAGCACTATTCCTTTAAGTCCTACAGGCATATCCATGTCAATAAACCCAAAATCCATTTGCCAGCCCTTCTGGTATTAATAAAATTTCTGACGTAACAGAAGAGCCCAACAGTACCATGGGAAGAGGCACTGGGATTCTAAAATCAGACTATCATTAGAGTTATTTATTATTACCTGGCACAGACTGGCCAACAGACAGAGTAGCATCATGACTGAGCTGGAGGGAGCCCCTGTTGCATCCCCAAGCTGTAAACTTCTTTGGCTGCTTACTGTTCTTAACTTCCTCTGTGCACTTAGCGCAATGACTGTCTCTAGGCTGGAGCTTAGCCTGACATTGGAGCAGTGGGACACAGCTTCTTTAACTTCAGTAGGTTTTTCAGCTATGAAATAAAAAATTATCACTCAAGTCAGGAGGACAGGGAAAGACAGAACTATGACAGGCAAGTACTTTGCACTGTTGGTCAGGTGATTAAGAGAAATCTTCACATAGGAAATTTTAGATGAGAAAAACAACCACAAAACTATTTTTACTCTGACTAGTAAACCTTCTTGAAGCCCTTTCTCAGTGTTATTCTCAAGACCTTCTGCTGGCAACTAACACTGCCATTGTGGACCTGCTGGCTCGTTCAGCCTTCATATCTGGGTAGGAGGCTGGCTATGGACTTCAGAAAAAGTAGACCTCAATCAAAGGGAAGATTTCAAAACTTCACCTATCATGAAAGTAACATGACACTAATATTGGTTGACAAGATTTTAACAGTATTGATTGGGGGTGGCAAGGTAGCCCAAGCTTTGAATTCTCTAAAGCAGAACAGCTTTCAGTAAAAGCCTAGTACTCACTCTGAATACCAGATGTTCTTAAGGAATAGTCAAAAACTGAGATATTGAAAGTTGTTAAACATGTGAAAATCTTGGCTTGTGACGCTACTGCTGAAGCAACAGTTTGTGAAAATACATCTTAGACTATTAGAATTTCTAATCAAAGGTTTTTTAAAAAAAAACATCTGTCCATCTATCTTAAGGTGCATCTTTCTGTCACACTATTCTCTGACGACACAGGCGCGATATATGATTAACATGCTGGTCTTATAGAGAGTTCAAAAATTTAGAAAAAGTGTCACATCTTAAAACCCATTAAAATTTACTTACAAAAAGTTTCTCTAAAAATCACTTGTCTTGTATTTGTTACGGAAGTATTTACACTCCTATATCAGAGGATGCAGAGATCAACACTCAGTGAAATTTTTCTTTCAGAAAATTCTCTGTTATAAAATATGAAGTGGGTTTTACTGCTCAGTGGTCCCTGATCTTTACTGCTCCCTGAGTGTACTTCTGAACTGATTACAGGTTTGATATCTAAATTTCCAGTACAGGTGAAACATTTAGGACAGTATCCTAATATGACAGATAACACTTGTTTCTATTTTTTTAGAGTTCATTCCATACAAGTGGGGGGGGGAAGTCTGTTTTGCTGCAGTAACGAATAAACATATCTATTTTTCCATGTACCTTAGTGAAGACACAAGACTTCATATCAGAACATAAAAAATGTTCCCATTATAGCCTCCATAGTTGATTACTTCTTTTAAGTAACTATTTTCATACCTATCATAGCTCTGATTCTCTCATTATGTTTTAAAACAACTTACGTGTATTTTGCAAATAACTGGTTTACCCAAGGCACAGAAGTATGTGTCTGCTTTGAAATAAAGCAAGCATAACATGTTGTGCTTTGCATCTGTTTTCAACCCTAGAAACTATACAGATGTAAGTAAAAGGTGGAATCTCTTTCCCCATCCAAACTCTAAGACCTTCTATCTGGGCCAGACTTTGATATTTGCCCCTTGGCTGGGAATCCGCATATCCAACTTCACACTTAGCTGCAGTGAAGTAGCCCTGCAGGCAGGCCAACTTCAACGAACCACTAGTGGTATCATCATTAAAATCCTGCTG